TATAATGGCAATGCCAACATTTTTATTGAATTCAATAATAGAAAACTCCTCCTTTCTGCGATTGATGAAGTTTTAATAACACATTCTAATATCCCATTTAATATTTTGAATCAAGATACTTCTCTTCCTTCCAACCCAAATGCGCCTATATATAGATTAAAAATGGTTCCTACTACAATCTCTCACCAACATATAAAAAGAGCTTTATCCTATTATAGACTTATAGAAACATTGAAAGACAAATTCAGAAATCGTTATAATTCTTCTCAGGATGTAATCATTACTTTTAAAAGACTCGCAAAACCACATCAATTAAATTTAACCTGGGCCCATAATATTAATGGTCTAGTCCTAAGATGTGTACATATTGATACCTCTATCGAAGATCTCAAAGCAAGAAATAGCTTCGTCACTGGTTTCAAAAGATTCTTAAATAAAACTACACCTGCAGAAGCTTTTAGATCAATGAGACCTCATGAAGCCAGTTCTTATTACTTTCACAATAACATTGCTTACTTTACATTTTGAATGAATCTGATATGCATCAAGCTTGTTTAGCTAAAATTCTTCATAATGAATATAAATTGGATGGATGATCTAGAATCCTCAGTAGATCATACAACCCCACTCAACAAAACATTCCAGGTCACAACCCCAATTTAAATAAAAGACAAAACAGACGTAATTCAGTTTCTCACAAATCAGGTGGTCAAATGAAGGTCAATTAATATGTTTCATCTTCATATCATGCTTCCAATGTTCCCATCAATATCACATCAAAAGGAAAATACAAGGATTCGTCTCATCTACCTCCTTCTAATACCCATGTTAATCCGTTGACTGCTATACTCAACAAATTACAAGAATTAGATTCAATCAAAGCCCATCTAGCCAAACTTGATGCTCAATTCTTAAATTTTCCAACCATGATGGGGCTGTTACCCAATGCTTATAACAGTCACACCAGGCGAATCACAGTTAAATGATATTCATACTGATAACCTGAATATTCATAATAACAATATAAATGTGAACTCCTTTCTAAAAACTCAAATTTTAACATTTCACACATTAAGAAACCAAATGACCAATAAATTGGATATGGATATTGCACATATTGATGAAACTAATGCTAACACAATTATAGATGAAGCTACCATTAGATTTTCAACACACAACGTTCTCAGTTTAGCTGAAAAGACTGATCCAATTAAATCCTTTCAAATCTTTGAACATTGCTGCCTCAACAAATTGGATTTTATCAGCCTAACCGAAACTCATCACACAAGCTTCATATTTTACAAATATAAAAAGGATGATGATTATACCTCTAATTGGAGTAAGCCTGACCCATACGAATCATACGCTGGAGTTTGTTTCCTAATATCGAATAAATAGGCTTAATATATCGTTCGATCTTTCACTTCTGCGTCCAGATACACTTACGTTGATTTTTTTATCAAAGGTCATATCAAACTGTGTGTTTTCAGTATTTATATTCATGCTAATTGTCATGATAAAGCATCAGCCCATAATAGATGTTTACTCTAAAAGGAGATTCTCCAGTTAATTAATAACAGTCTTAAGAATCGTTTCCATATTGTTGTCATGGAAGATTTTAATATTGATATAGACTCTTATCAACAAAAACTAAAAGACAATAAACCTTTAGAATAGCGTTTCTCATTCATTGAAGGCTTCTTTCAATGGAATCTAATAGATCTCCAACAAATTAGCAATGTTAACATCATACCCACCTTTTTTCCATTCATTAATGTTAATAATAATAATACACGTCCTGGTTCTCCTCGTTGTTTAGATGGAATTTTTGTTTCACCTGATTTCATGGTTGACTTCTTATATTATAGGGTATCCAAACCACTTTTATACAAATCTGACCATAGAATGGTCACATTCTTTTTTGCGGATTTCGAACCTAAACAAGAAGCTAATGTTAGACAGCTCATCAACAAAAAAAGAAAATTTGTTTTCTCATCTATGAATGACCACAAATGGAACACTTTCTCAGGAAAACTGGATAAATTCTTTCACATTAAACAGTTGAATCATCTTAATCAACTAACTCTTTTATTGGCTAGCATGAACCTCCTATGGGAACAGCTCAGAAATGCTATTATGACTATTACCAACAAAACCATTCCAGTCTGATGGATTTTTGCAGACCAAAAGGAACCCAAACTAAAGGAATTGGTTTCATACTATGACCAAATGAAGAAGTTAAACAAGATGATCCTTAAATTCCATGCATCAAGGATAAAAACTAAAACATAGCCTATAGGATAAGAATGGATTAATGATTATTCCTCTGTTCTGTCAATAATGAAGGATACTAAACTTCCTATTGTAACACTTCCCGATATCCTTGATCCTTCCAATATTAAACACACTAAAAGCATTCTTCTCAAACTTTACCACAACCTCAAGGCTTTAGCCAGAATCGAAGAAGAAACTCTCACAAGACAAAAAATAAAATATCGTATTAATCAACGATGTTTGCAATATGAATCTGCTCCTGAGAAAATAATTCAGTCAGCTCTTGGACGTACAAAAAAACCATCATCCTAGATCGTCTTATTATCAATAATGGTAATAATCACCAACTTCTCATCAATAACCCGAAGCTTATTAAGGAACACGTCAATCATCATTTCCAAAAATCTGCTGTTCCTTTGTCACCTATTGCACCAATTACAGGCCAATAGATTAAGCAATTTGCTCCAATTGAAGGTATAGATGAAGTTGTGTATTGTAACATCATGCAACTCCCAACCTTAGAAGAATAGATAGCAGTTGTTTTGCACCTTCCTAATGATAAAGCTTCTGGACCTTTGGGTATCCATAATGAAATGATCAAACACCTAGGCCTAATTGTACAATCTCTCTTATGGAAATTAATCACAATGTATTTCAACCTAAATGATATTCCTTCAGAATGGAAGTCAGCTCACATCTATTCGATTCCCAAGCCCATGAGTTGGGATTGCGACATCACTAAGACCAGATCTATCACACTGTTAGAATTGCCTAGGAAAGCAATGGTTAAAATTATCACAAATCGTTTATCTCGTATTATGACCAAGCACAACATACTCAAAGGCAACAATTTTGCTAAATTACCTAGTGGTTCTACTAAAGATCCTATTAAGATCATGAACATGATCATTGAAGACTCTGTTGAACACAAAAAAGAAATTTGGATTCTCTTATAGGACCTTTCCAAGGCTTATGATAGAGTCGATCTCAATATTCTAAAACTTGCCCTCCGAAGAATAAAAATACCAGAAATTGTATCACTTGCATATTACTTGCATCTTGAACCTTTTTACTAATAGACGAAATGCAGTTTTTACTAAAGATAGCCTAACAAACTTTTATGATATAAGAATCAGTATTGATCAAGGCAAAGTAATTTCACCCTTTTGTGATGTATCTACTTCAACCCTCTATTATGTGAAATCGAACGTCAAAAAAAAGGATACAATTTAAATCATACTTGGATCTCAGATTTGAATAATATGACATCATCTTCTCTGTCTGTCAATATTTCATCCCTTGGTTACATGGATGATGCAAACTGGATTGCCAGTTTCAAAGAAGATCTTGAATATATTCTTGATATAGCTGATGAATATTATTCTCTCACAAGAGCTGCAATCAACAAAAACAAATCCAGACTACTTAGTAATGCTCTTATTTCTCCTGACACTATTCAATTAAAATTTGGATCATCCTTTATCCATATTACTCCAGATCTAGGTTCAGTTCATTTCCTCAGTGTTTTAATTAATATATTTAATTCCTCTTCCTTCGTCAAGAAACAAACCAAAGATACTATCTCCTCGTTTATTTCCATCCTCAAATCAAAACCATTCACAGATAAACAGTTAATATACATTTTTAATTCCATTCTCATGCCGACTTTGGAATACCATTTACAAACAACACTGCTATCCTATAATGAATGCAATACTTTCTCTGCTCCCATTCGAAGGCTATTAAAAACTAATTCAAAATTTGCCAGCTCAGCTCCAGATTGTCTCTTTAAAGGA